ATTTCTCATTTTCCCCAGCAATTGTGTGGGTGTCGCCAACTTTTTATGCGCCTTTGATTTCCCAACTTGACGTCACAAAATTCTTACGCACTATTTTTAGCTTATATTTTCAAGTTGGAAGAAAAGATTAGGATATATGTGAGATTATAGAAAATTAGGAGGTTTTGAACTTGACAGAGAAATGTTGTATTTCACTTTCGTTATGCAAATAATTGCCGACACCTTTCATTGATTAAAAGCCAATCACACAAATGAGTCAACATGGCCAAGGGCACTGGAACGTATCTGTATCTTGTAATCGTATCTATGTGTGGGTCACTGCAGTTTGTTTACATTTCGCAGGTGAACCGCCCCAGTTCCCTGACGTCACAATGATTCGATTGAATTACAAACCGCCCACTCCGCCCCCTTGTCAATTACCTGTCGCGACACGTGATGTTAATTTTTCCCGTTACTGGTTTGTTTTGTTTGTGGCTGGGGAAAATCTCGAATCCCCAGCCAATTTTCACTATGCAAATTAAATCTGTCATTTTGGGATAGCATCTCCATTTTACCGAAAAGAAATCCCCGTTTTAGTCGCTAGATAGTTTAGCTGTAAGTTTTTTTTGCCCTTGAACTAGACCGACTTAATTGGGTTTGGTTTTGCTTTATGCAATCGCTTAATGTGAGTTTAGTGGATGAGCAACTGGCTCGTAAAAATGCAAATAAATTAACTCCAACGCTTGGGTTTGAGTAAGTGAAAATTACTGGAATGGGAGTGCAGCGTAAACAAATACTGATCAATATTTTCCGCTTACTTTGTTCAAAAGGGTATTTTACTATTATAACTAGTTAAATACTTTATTGTTATAAAAGTAAAAACAATAAAAAGCATTTTTATTTTAGCAAATTGTAAGGAAAACAATCTGTAACCATGCTTAAGTATTTAACAAACAACTATTAAACATTGTTTCCTTTCCACACTTAATTATTTGGATCAGGGTCGACAAGTTAAGGCCCATGCAATCGATCCCATCTACTTATCAGCAACAAAGTGGCTCCATCAGCCTATCACTTAATCAGAAAAAATCAACTTAAATAAAAGGAGAATGCTTTTATTTTGAGTAGCACAACATTTCACTTAAATTCCCTAAGTACGTGACTGCTTTTCAATTTTAGATGTCGCTTCCTATTTTAATGTAGAATCCAATTTTGAATATCACTAAAACAGAAAGGTTTGCCGGGGGTTTTTTTCAGATCGCTGGGTTGATACCTGGAAGTACTTTGCGGTTGGGAAACTTATGGTCGGGAATTCAGCTCGAAGTGGGATCATGCCATAAATAAGTGTGTAAGTCGCGTATTTTATGAATCGAATTTGTTTATAGCCCATGTTGACATTTGGCACGTTCCCGTGTCTCATCAAATTTACGCTTAACTCAGCACAAAGCTTTTCCCCATCGAAAACTGAACAACTGGTTCCCCCTTCTGTTTTACATGGACAGTTTAGTTCGGGAACGCATGAAGCGCACCGAATTAATCATTATTGGCTGTCAAAACATTAAAAGAGGAAGTGGTATTACTAGAGGACTTCAACCCGTGACTCTTGCCTATGAACTGTCACCCATTCTGCATTGGATGTGAATGCACTGATTGTCTGAGTGCTCTTTTATTTTAACCCATTGACACAGTGTAGACATGGAAAGCGGCTTAGAATCTTTTCACCTCTTCTTTTTTGCTTTTACGAATTTATGTCAAATTTAATAGTTGCTTGTCTTCAATATTTATGTTGCCTCAATATTTGTTGTTCGAAAACTATTTATTCCTCATCTGGTATACGCTAATTTATGTTCAAACAAAATATATAGTCTAGTTTGTGGTTGACGCTCATTAGAACATTTTCAATATAAACTTTGACGTCAAGAAGCAAAAAATATGTTCAACAACTTTCAAGTATTTTTTCTATACTTCTGTTAATCTCCCTGACTTATTGTATTTTCAATTTTCTATGACAAGTAAATTCTATATTACTGGTAAGTTAAATAATACTTATGGCGCCTAGCCATTTAAATATGTTAAAATTTGAATATTTCCTTTGGTTAAAAAAAAAAAAATGTTTTCAAGAAATTCAAAAACTGCAAACTTTAAATGTTTATTGCAAAAATGTAGAATATGATATAATATTTTAAAGCAAACAAAGTCACATGAGCGTCGTCTAATTTTAGAGAATAAAATCCAAATGTTTTCAAACCTTAAAAAATTGTTCATAATATAAAAATGCCTTTCTGACACGGTTTTCACATTAATATGCTTTTGGACAAAAAAATAAATTCAAGTTGGATTCGAATTCCTCTATTTGTTGTTAAATAATTTTCTTTTTTTCTTCACCCGGTTATTTATCACTCAGCCCGCCGTTTTCGTATATGTACTATATATGGGTGATTCCATATCAGATTTACAGTCGATATCGGGAAATTCGATGAGATATTTTTTTCATGCTCTTTATCAAAAATAAATCGACACGTATTTTTTTATATGGCTCAGAAAATTTTTTTGTAAAAGTTATGATTTTTTGAATTTTTGATGAACTGCCCTTTTTTTGATGACAGTCGCGTTTTCCAGCCCCAATAACTCGAAAACCGTACGTCGCAGAAAAAAAATGAATAGGAAGTAAAAATTTCATCCTTCCTTCTTCTTTGCAAAACTTTCATGAAAAAATTTTTTTTAAACAATTTTTCACCACAAAAAGTTCAAATGTTTATAACAAATTCATTTTTCTCCAACTTGGACATTTTTGATTTTTTTTTTTCTTTCACAGTAAATCCTTCAAATTCTTCTGATGAACATACTAAAATTTCAGAATGGTATCAAAATTAGTTTTTGAGTTATAGAATTTTAAAGATTATCATGCACGGTCCGCGCGCTCGGTCTCAGGGCGTGCGCCGACCAACGACTCTAACGAGCGTCAATTCGCTTCGCGCGCGCATAGTAAGGGTCAATAAAATGAATTTTTAATGCTATTTAATTCTATAACTCAAAAACTAATTTTGATACCATTCTGAAATTTTAGTATGTTCATCAGAAGAATTTGAAGGATTTACTGTGAAAGAAAAAAAAAAAACAAATGTCCAAGTTGGAGAAAAATGAATTTGTTATAAACATTTGAACTTTTTGTGGTGAAAAATTGTTTAAAAAAATTTTTTCATGAAAGTTTTGCAAAGAAGAAGGAAGGATGAAATTTTTACTTCCTATTCATTTTTTTCTGCGACGTACGGTTTTCGAGTTATTGGGGCTGGAAAACGCGACTGTCATCAAAAAAGGGCAGTTCATCAAAAATTCAAAAAATCATAACTTTGTCAAAAAAATTTTCTGAGCCATATAAAAAAATACGTGTCGATTTATTTTCGATAAAGAGCATGAAAAAAATATCTCATCGAATTTCCCGATATCGACTGTAAATCTGATATGGAATCACCCATATATTTTTGTGTTATGTTTCGCTATTTGAAAAGGTCGGTGAATTTCAAACTGTATTTAAAAAGCCGGGTGGAACTCAAACTTACCCGCCGAAAAAACTGATTCACGGGCTGTGTTGTTGCCTTCGCAGCTTCCCACACGAACTCGTGAACTTGAATTGTCCTTTGAGAGAGCGGTAAAGGAGGTTTGCTTCTTTTTTCTGTTTCTTATTTTGCACAAAGAAAGTGCACGTAATTATATTAAAATATACAGCGGCAGACAAAATTACAGTTCACATACACGCACAAAAACACACGCTGGAGGGGCACCGTTACTTGGACATGTACGAAAATTCACTGATTTATTCCAATGGAATCTTCCTGCGGGGTTTTGGAACAGAACCGCCCGCCTCGAATTCGCAAAACCGAATGATAGCGTTGATAGAGACGGGCCTCCCTCGTCGACGTCGACGTCGGTCGAGGCAGAGCGGCAGAAAAGCGCTCGAACACATCGATACACTGAGATACATAATTCTTAAATCTATACTAGCGATATATTAATACACAAAAATAAGTTAATAAATGGCATGCTGACCCTGAATTTAAAATATATTTAACATTATTTCTTTTTTTCTTTTGTTAAAATAATTTTTTTAATTAAATTGGTCACATTTGAAAATGCAATTAACGAGTTGTTTTATTTCCGTGTAGTATAGTACATTGCTTTTTATGTGGGAAATTTGCGCTCAAGTTCTTGTTCTCTCTTTCATCTCGCCTTGCTTTTGTTGTTGCTGTTTTTTCATCTCTCCGTGTTTTTGTTGTTGCGGTTACGGCTTGTGGTTATTTTCCAAACGCGTTTTAAATACAATAATCGCTGACTTGACGTCACGAATTTTAGGGAAATTCAGAACCAAAGTGTAAAATTTCATCACGTCATAGTGCAACGGTGTAGGAGGAAGAGCTGGCGCTGAAGGATACGGGGAAGGATGCTGTCCTTGGCAGAGGACGCGCAGCTCCTTTGCGCGCACTTTACAATGGCTTACGCAAGCAACGTAAGCTTTTCACGTAATATTTTGGAGTTAGCGGCAGGATATAACAGATTTCATCATATTTTGAAGAAAAGTGCAGGATAAAAGCAGATTTCATGAAATCCATGAGAAATGGGTAATAATGGATAATGGAAATGGATATACATTCATATGTAAGAATATAAAATATAAAAAAAGCCTTCAATTTCGAGTTTATATAATAATTAAAAATATTTAAGCAACAAAATATTACAAAAATAATCTACTAAGTTTCATCTAACTAAAATCTAATTAAAATCGATCCGAAACTAAAACAACTTCTTAAAACTTAATTTTGTTCTTGAATTTAAATTACATTTTCGAATTAAATTAACATACAATCTTTAAAATCAGGAACTCTGAAATTATAAACGGAAGTGCATTGAAATTTAATTCCGGGCATTGTACCAAAAATATGAAAACGGTGACGAATTGTAATTAAATGTTTAAGCTTTAAAAAAATGTTACCTTGTATTACCTTTGGAATAAAAAAAAAACCATATTGTTTAGCATAAAATTTATTTGGTTCCATTCTTTCGCTTCCATATATAAGCAACACTTGCGTCTTATTAGCAAGGCTCTCGGCCTCTCAGCTTATTTAAAATATTGATGTATATATCTTTTGTATATATTGAATTCAATTAGCTTAGGTGTATATATATTTTGTAGGTTGAGTTGTTAAATAATTGAAACGGTAGTTAGTTTGTGGTGTCTTTCTTCCGATAGAGTTAACTAAGAGTACTTGCCCTTAAAACTGGAACTGGTCTCATTAAGTTGTGATTGCATCGAAAAACTGGCGTCTTTCCTTTGGTTAACATGTCACTTTTCTCTCCGCTTACTCTCTACGCATTATGATATAGTTGTAACATAATTAAAGCATTCAATTGTCATCTTATTCGAGTCTTCACTCCACATTCTTCTCCTCACTGCGACTCCGGCTGAGATTCTGCAGGTTCGTTGAAGCCACAGAAGCTCCACTTGACCTGATCTGACTTGAAGAGATTTGTGTACTTTCCGAGTATATTGGCAAGATCATCATGGTTACTGGTTACGGAGTTGTTGCACAGAATTCCGCTTAAGTAGCTGGCTATGTTGGCGATGTCCACGCCATGGGGATGCAGCACCAGGTAAGCGGAGGTTAAAGCAATTATCTTGGCCTCCGAAAGAGCCAGGGACTTAAAGGTGGCCTAAAAAAAATTTAGTTATTCCCATTGAAAAATAGGTTAAATTTTTTAAAAGGAACTGCTTATGGTAAAAATTTTGAAAAATAAGAAGCTAAATGTAAACAAATTTCTTAATTGGTGATATAGAGGTAAAAACTACATATCAAAACTACATATCACTAACCTCTTCCCTTGGCGTGGTATGAGTATTCTCTTCGCTGGCTTTATTTAAAGTCTCTTCAATATTTGACTTTGAACTATCTTCTATAATTGACTCCTTTTTATTGCTTTCCGCAGTATTTTCTGTAGGCTCCTGCTTATCATCGTCCTCGATCTCGTGAATTTCTACCACACCGCTTTGGTGCTCTATGATGCGCACATCATCGTCCACTTTATCGATATCAATAATTTCCGGTTCCGGCTGCGGTTGTTGCCGGATAGTATCGGTCGCCTCCGGACTGCGCGAATCTCCACTGCTGTAATCGAGATTTGAGGCGCTGGAAGCATTTGAGTTGCCGGTTCCATTCGCTTCTTTGTCCTTTAATTTATCCACTGTTTCTTTAATTTTGGTCTTGAGCAGCAGTTGCTTAACGCCGGCATCTTTAAGATTCCGCTCGAGCTGCTCTATGATCTTAGTGTCCTTCTGTTCGCGCATCTTTGTCTGCAGCAGCTGAGTTTGCATGTTGCGAATAGTTTCTTGCAGCACTTTGATTTGCTTCTCACGCTGGACGTAGTCGCTGCGCTCCAAAGTCATCTCATGACGAATGGCCTCCAGTTGACAGCGCAAAGAATCGTTCTCGTCCTGTAAAAAAAGGAGATAGTTTTAATCAGTAAAGAAAGGATTTTCTTAAAGATATACAATATAAGAAATTATTACCTTTAACCCCTCACTGTCGTAACGAATACGCTTGGCGCCTGGTCCACGCCTTTCGTAGTCACGCTCGTCGTCAGAGATTTCCATTTCATCATCGTCGGTGATCTGGACAGTTCGAAGTTCCTGCATGGCATGCGAAAAGAACTTTAATTAAATTTTCATTTCTACCAGTTGGAATAGTCTCTCTTGTTGTTTCGTTTTCATTGCTTACAAGGCTATAAAACTATACCTAGCTATAAAATTTGTGTATTTAAAAAATGCATCAATTTTGTTTCCTGTCTTATGACACTATTCTGGTCCGCTTACTTACCTCGCCACATTTTCAAAAAGTTTAAGAATTGCTTTCGATTAACTTTTTTTTGCTATTAATAATTAATTTGTTTTTTGTTGCACAAATTATGTTTCTCAGCAGCAATGTTTTAGTTCTTCCTTTTGCTATTTACCACAACCAATCAATTTGTATAAGTGACCATCAAACTTCCAGAATTTCTTTTAATACAAACATGGAAGTTTGTGGCCACTCTTCTAAAGATTACGTTTAGTTCGATGTATTTAAAGCTTATCGGAAATGTTATGCAAATGCTTAGTTAAAAGTTGAGAACATCTTTAAACAATTCAAATACCAAAGCCATGAAAAGATAGAAAAGCATAAGAGACCAAGAGCGAAAGCTTAATAAATATATGAAAACACCTGATAAAAAAAGACTTATGAAAGAGATTACGAAAAAAAAAAAACTGTTGAAAATCGATATGAAATTGTTAAATTACTTTTTGAAAATTAAAATGTGAACATAAAAATGTTTAAACAGTTTTTCTTTCCGATAATCTTAACTCTATTTCTAATTCTACATAAGTTCAATGATAGGCGATAAATAAAATGTATTTAGGCTTGCAATTAAATCTATATTATTTTTTTTATTTGGTTTAGTGACATCACAAGTGATATGTTAATTTAGATAATGATTCACACAAACAACGAAATAAAATATTAATGCACTGGACAAATATGGGAATTTTATAATTAATAAACAGCAATTAGCAGTTTTGAGCGTCAACAATGTATTCGTACGTAATGATTATATAGGAATGGTAATTGGGCGACATGCATACTGATACTGCTGGCACAAAAATGCTTTACTAAATTGGTTAAACATCTACAAAAACACCACAACAATAATAACAATAGCAATAACAAAAACAATGGTTACACAACATCCTAAATGAAGAGACCAACAACTATGAATCGAGATTATTGGACAGTAAATGACATTTGGTTTTTATACACATTTTGCAACATCTTTGAAGTTGTTCGTATTTGATTATTTGAACATTTTAGTACGTACCGTTGCTAACTTCTTCCATTGATCGATGTTTTTTCTTTGGGCTTTGGTGAAATGGTCCCAAACCTTCTTGTGACTAGCGGCATTGAACACTTTTTCAATCTGAGTGACTGAACAATAATGCAATAATATATAATAATATTAAGGGAGGACAAAGGGTATTTTTTTTTTTTTTTTTTTCTGGATTTTTTTGGATTTCAGTTTTGCTCTTCACCTTTGTCAAACTAGACTTGTTCATTTGCGAATAAAATGAGTGAAAAATGAAAAATTGAATTAAACTACAGGAGAGACCCTCGCATAGCAATTATTTATGTAAAATAGTTACGGTTATTTAAGGTTGATATTTAGGTACAATCTAGAGAGAATACAACAGCGTGATTACCTATCTTTATTTTTGTCCGAGTCTGAGATGTTTGGGTCTACAAAGGAAGTTGAATCCTTTATTGTACCAATGGGTTGCTTTAATTTGCTCTCTGCCTTGCGGCTTACAAACCTTTGGGCCAAATAAGACTTAAGCCGTTAGTGGTGGTGTCGAGACACAGTGAAAGTGAGTGAGAATCTGCCGCACAGTGGAACGAATCAGTGAATGGGGCAATCAACGTGGTGCATACGAAACCGGTAATTAACTTAGCTACAGATAATATTGCGGTAAGAAAATTACTCATTGAGGAGCTGATTAAAATTCCAAGGCGTAGTTAACATTATAATTTGATCCAGGGAAGCAAGACATTCTTAAAAATAAATCTTCTAAAATAATTCACTCATGTTGTCTAGGTATTTTGCTTCCCATAAAATAAATATCAAATGTTTTGTTTTTAATCTCGTAAACAATTACAACTACAATGATTACTTTAAAATAGTTTCTAAGTAATTAAAAAGATTTTAATTATGGCAAAAAAAAATCGATTCTATGCCTCGATGATCACCTCATTCTTCGATTTCGCTCTGTGTACGAAACCTTTGGCATCGTCCTTTTTGGCTGGGCTTTTACCTGATCCTGCATGGATTATTTGGGCTTGCTCCTCCGACTTTTGGCGAGCAAATTTTAGACGTTAAGATCTTATGTGGGGTATTGGCATTTAATAATTCGATGACTAGATTTGCTAAAGATTGTGTTGGGTGGGTATGGAGTGTTTGAGTGTAGGTGTGTATGTGTGGGTGTGTAGTACGCTGGTAGATTGTTCAGATATACAGACGCTAAAAGGCTAACCCGGGCGCAACGAAAACAGAAAAATAGGATTTTAAAGTGGGAGCGGCACCTAAATTTCCGTCTAGACTAGAGCTAAGAAAGCTGATTTTCCGCCTTGTTGGACGGAACACTTACATTGCGTGGACATGGTGCCCATTTGGTTGCGATAGCTATCCCTGGCCTTCTTTAGATCTTCCTCCAGTTGCAGTTTGTCGGCGTGAAGCCTTCGTACATGCGCATGTGTGCTCTGGATCATCGAGTAAAAGACATTGGCATTTCTCTTGGTGCAGTCTCCCCGCTCCAGCCAGGCGGTTATCGTCTGGATTGCCTTCACAAACGTTTCGTTGGTGCGCAGATGCTCTGCCACGGCCGTGGCCTCGTGATCCGTATAGTGTGGTATTGGCGGCGGCGACTGCGACCGCATCCTGTCCATTGACATGCGCTCCCGATGCCGCTGCTCTCTCTGATGTTGTCTCTGCCTGCATTCGTAATCGTACTGATCATCCCGTGCCTGTGCATAGTCCACATGCAGGCGCCCAAAGTTGGGAGGTTCATTGAGCGCCGAGATACGCAATCTATAGCCCGATAGGTAGATGGCTCTATCTATGGCCCCCTCCTGGCGATAGCGTATGTGGCAGAAGTTCTTCTTGGACATGCGCAACGTGGTGATCTCGCCGCACGACTCGAAGATCTCCCGGATCACCTCCTCGGTTATGTTTTCCGGCAGTCCACCGACGAACACAGTCCGGCAGCCGGGCGGCCGCTCCCTAATCGTAGGTGGTGGGGCATTCGGATTGGGCGGGAACAGGATGCAATTTTTGGTCTTGATCACTTCCTTTAGGCCAGCAGGTGCCACACCATCTAAAACAAATGAATGATGACAAGGGGTTTTAAATGGATTTTCAAATCTGGTGTTTCTCACCCGCAGTGAGGGCAGCTTCTAGTCCTGTGCCCGCTTCCGTGGTCATCCCTGCTGCTGCAGCCGCTGCGTAGTGCATCTGTTGCATTTGCTGCATGGCTGCTGCCATCATCGCCGTGGGATCCATGAGCATCTGAGCGTTGGCGGTGTTGCCTGCAGGAGTCGCTGGAGCGGATGTCCCTCCAACAGTTGGCGTACTTCCAGGTGCAGAAGCGCCAGCCGCCTGGGCAGCTGGAAAATACAGATACCCCGGTGGCGTGTGCATCAAGCCATTCAGATATAACTGCGCCGAATCCGGCAGGGAAATTGAGGAGGATGGGGCCTGTAATTTAGGTTCCTTGTGTACTGTTGTGGAGCTCACATCCGTCGAGTGTTCGTTCTCATTTTCTAGATCCATAGGGGCACTGCCCTGCGGCGGCTGTTGGGTTTTTGCCATCTTATTCTGGTTTTGTTTTGGCGGCGATGAGGGATTTCCCACGACCGAGGTAGTCGACGCCGCCGTGGAAATGGCAGCCGCCAGTTGGTTGAGGAAATTCGGGTGATTTGGCAAACTAACGCCATTCGGCATGGTCCCAAAGAGCGGTACTGCAAAATAAATTTGAAAGTTAATCCTCTTCACACAGAAAACCACCCAAAACAAAGCCGGTAGCAAAACAAAATAGCCAATCAGCTGGGACCTCATTTTCCGATAACCACATATCTTTTTCTGGGGGTGGCAGGGCTCCAAAATGGCGTAAGTCTCCCGCAGACAAAAACCAAATAAAATACTAAATACATCAATTCCTGATCTTTACGGTGCTTTTTTCTGCTTCCTTTTGTTTTGTTGCACATTTTGAGTGCTTTTTTAACTCATTATCTTATTACTTACGCATTTTATCGCCCCAGTAATTGTACGACAGGTAATGTGTAAAAAAATAATTCCTTTTAGAGATGAGGGGCTAATTGAAATGGTCACCCTTCGATACATATCGATGGCGGACAGTTTTCCGATTTTGGCGTTGCCACATATTTCTCTATGAATCATCAGCTGTCGTCAGTTTTTTGAGAAAAACAAAACGTAGTTGGGTGAAATTCTTGCAAATTTCTGAGGATAAAGTAGAAAAAAACACTCGACATGTCGGTTAATACGGCCCACGCCAACAATGGCGTGCTGATCCATGCTGGAGAATAGTAAGTAGTCGTCAAAGACTTCAAATTACCAGTCCAAATCTTGGGGCACCCTGACGTCATGAATGTTCATATGTAAACATCGACGTGTAGCCCGCAGATTTATTGGGATTATTGTAGATAATAATAATAATAAACACCCTATTCCAAATCCACAGCATATTGCTTCACAGCGACAGCGTTTCGATGGAGTTTTCCGGCCAGGACAACCCAATTTTTAAAGGCTCAAAAGCGGGAAGGATCTATCTTACCTCTCACCGGATGATCTTTAATAGCAAGAAGGCCTCGGATCAAATGCAGTCTTTCAGTGCTCCATTTGTAGCCCTTTCGGATGTGGAAATCGAACAGCCCGTTTTCGGAGCCAACTACATCAAGGGAAAGGTGCGAGCCCAGCCGAATGGAAACTACGTGGGAGAGGTCAAGTTCAAGCTTCATTTTAAGGCCGGCGGCGCCATCGAGTAAGCCAATTTCTTTTTTCAATTATCATTTCAGATATCTAGTATTCAGATTCATAATTGTTAAGTTGTTAATTTAAAAGTTGGTCAGCCAACTACATATATTATTTCCATGCTATATGCATTTATATCCTTTTATTTTAACTCATCAAAATAAATTTTTTAATTGTTGTCTTTCTTTTTCAGATACGGTCAGGCTTTGCTGCGTTCCGCCAAGACGGCTATGAACAACTACCACCGCGGTGGATTGGCCGGTGATGATCCGCCGCCTTACCAGCCGGCTGGAGCTTGGAACGAAGCCCCGCCACCGGCCTATCAGCCACCTCCAGGTTATTACGGCTGGTTGCCACAGCACGATGCCTTCAGTGGCCCTGCGCCGAATACGGTCTTTATGAGCGACAATCCGCCGCCATATCCGGGGATTGGTAAGTTAAGCATGCGGGTATTACGCCCCCCAAACACTCGGCTTTTGTTCTGGCACTGCAACGCGAATTGGCAAGCTGGCTTACCCACGAAATTTCACCGCAACGCACACGCTTAGTTTAACCCACGAGGGCACTCCTCTCTTTCTCATCTTAGCACCACCGGCGCACCAACCACCACCTCAGCAACCGCAGGGACCGTCGTCGAATGAACCAAATTGGTATGGTTTTTCAGCACCGCCGCCACAGCAGCAGCAACAGCAGCCGGGCTACGGACCACAAGGATGGGCCGGTGGCTATGTCCAGCCGCCGCCGTACGCCTCTTGTGCACCTAACTGTCCCCCAGGACCTCCGTATGCTACCCCGGCTCAGACGTACAATGGACCACAGCCGTACGGTGGATATGGAAATGTCCCCGGTGGATTTAACACCCCGGGACTTCAGCAACCGAATGGATATCCAAATGGTTACCCTGGTGGACCGCCGCCTCCGGGACAGCAGGCGGCAGGAGCAGCCGGAGGAGCCGCTGCATCCGGAGCCAGCTTCATGGGCTTCAGCTTGCCGCCAGGAAGTAAGTATAATCCATACACATAGTAGTTTTTACTCCGATCATGTCTTTCACATTCCCTTTCCTAAACGCACTTTACTAAATTGGTTTACCTTACAGAAGAATAATCGAAGCATACGGCTAACAAAGTAGAAAATAATAAGGGCAGGAAAATTTTGAAATAATCTAATGTGGAAAGATCTGAAAACTAATCAAACAAAAATAGCTCTACAAACAAATCAAGACTTTAAATATATTCAAGACATATGTAAAACTATTCAAGAGCAAACAATTGGCAACAATCGAATATGGACACGCAGTTTATGTAGTTTGAAATACTTAAATTAAATTAGTGCTTGGAAAAATTTAAAAATATAAATTGTGGAAAAACTTAACTAACTAACCAACCATTATATAAACTAGCTAATATTTTTATATCGATTTATTTTGGTTGACAAGCTTTTGTTTTTATTACATCCCTGATTTAATACACTTAATATCCTAATTCCCAGAACTCGATCTATTACTAACACCAAAAAAAAAAAAACCAAGATACATATCCTTAAAAAAATTGTTTCTTTTGTCCTATTTTACAGTGTAATAAAAAGCAATCTTCTGTACCACAATTAGGCATCCCGACAAGTAAGATTTATTGTTTCGATGATACCAATGCCCAATGCAAATACTAACAAAAGCCGAGTTTTTATGTAGTTTAGTGTACCCTGTTTGGTTTAGTGACTTGTTTAATGGTTTCTTCTTTAACTTTTTCTTTACCACCCACAAAATGCGAACCTTTAGTAGCAAGATTTGGCAGCACTCATCATTATTTCTATCCAATCCAAAGACCAATGTGTGTTGTTCTGGTTCCTGCTATAATACCATAAACACAAATTGTAAGAGATGAAATGTAATGGTGTCAATTTACATAATATATATAATTTATATATTATTATATGCTGATTAACAATTTACTGATTTTATTTTGTTTGTTATTTCAACAGATTCCAAAGAAGCCGAAGCTGCAGCAAGTGCTTACAATACACCCTACAACCAAGGCGGACCCAGTGGATCAGGAAACAGTGACTTACCACCTTCTTATAATGTGGGTATAATACAAATGGGTTGTGCTAAGTGATAACCACATTTCTCTTTTTCTTTTAGAACTTGCCACCCAGTTACGAGGATGCATCGAAAAAAAATCACTAATAACGACTGCATACTATATTCCCTTATCAATAATGCGATTGAAAATTATTACAGCTCATTCCGTTGAGGTTATTCAAACACAAACTATTTTATAAAGCAAAGTTAAATATTGTTTTCGCCAAGTATTCTTTATAGTTGGTATTATTGTTGAACGCATTCTTTAAAGGGCTTTTTTTAAATGCTTTAATTTCTGGTCACAAAATTAGAATTCGCTAACTGTTTCAATGTTTGGCTTAAAAAAATTGTCTTTTATATAAGAGAATATTATATTATTCAAATGATTGTTACACATGAATTAAAAACATATTTTATTCATTATTAAATATATGACAATGTATTATATAAAAGTAATCAATCCTTAGAAAGATTGTTTGTCGAATTTTTGTCCTAGGTACTCTCAAAGGAAGTTTCTTCAGAACTTTCCGAGGAATCTTCTTCAGATTCACTGCTATTGACGCTGCGAGGATATACGATTTCGTCATTGTACTCATCGAATAAAGGACGCTTTATCAAGTTAAGGGTCAAATAAGATTGATCGACATTGTATTTCTGAAAATAAAATTCGAATACAATTTCTATAAAAACATATATAGTAGTATTGGCAATTACCTGATCTGTGGATACACAACACATTTCGTGCAAATACATTTGTAATGGCTTATGTTCTTCGGGATTTCGAACAGACTTTAAAACATCCAGACACTGACCGATAAACTCAGTGTTTATGTGAATGTCACTTTCAACGAAAATAATCTCACGTAGTTTTCGGCAACATGTAAGGATGCTAAGAATTTGATTGACATGGTAAGTCTTCTTTTTGATTTCCAGTACTTCCAGTTCAGTTAGTTGAGTTAGAAGATCGAAGCTTTCCTGATCTTTAAACCCAATTTTCAATTTCCTTAGCGAATTTATTTGCACAAGCAATTGAGTTGATCTGAAAATTAAAAGCTGGTTTCTCAGGTCAAAGGAGCAGAGAACGTGTTCTTTTCTAGCAACCAACTCTTTGAGAAAGTTCTCAATACTAATTTCTTTGCAGCATTCCAAGGTTAACTCCTTTAAATTAAGGAAAGCCAAATTGTGCAAATTAAGCTCGCTGTGAACTATACAGTTCAGGTGCTCCAGACTCTTCAACCAAGCCAAGGTGTTGAGTTCGCCTTCTCCCAGTGATCTGAACTTAATGATCAGCTTTTTAAGCGTTTGTGGCTGTTTTTTGGCTAATGGAGCCAAAAAATTAGAGGTGATTACATAAATTGAATAAATAAGAAGCTCTTCTAGCTTTGGGGCGCGACTTAGAATTTCTATGTCAGTGGCATCGGCTAAAGTGCAGTGAAGAGTCCTCAGGAAACGTAGTTTTTTGATGGCTACGACTTCCTTGGATATCAAAGGGCAGCCCCTTACCACCAGGCGATGCAATTGTTTCATTCGCCTTAGGGCCTTAAATAGCTTTACCATAGAGCCCGTAATATATGAAACGATATCCAATTCCTCCAGCATTGAGATCTCGGCCAGCTCGGTTAAAGCCCGATTATCGTAGGGATCGAAGAGACCGCATCTCAAGCTTCGCAGGGAACTGATTTTGGCCAGTTGTACTATCTCTTCAGACCTTAAATAATTGCCCAGGATGCTGAGGGTGTCGAGTTCAACGGGCGGCATTCGCAAAGCCAAGTCACATAGCAGATCTTCCAATTCTCCCGACGGATGTTTGGTGACACAAAGATATGTGAGATGCGGCAAACGTGCCAGCAGATTTATGTTCCTCTGATCGGAGAAGCCAACTGTTAGTTTCGAAAGCGAATCCATTTGGGCCACGATTGGTATCTCCTCCTCTTGGAGTTCATCTATTTCCAAGCTCTCCACTTCATTGTAATGAAGTACTCCTTTGAGCAGGTTTTCTAAATTACCGATTTTGGGCCTATCGATGATCTGAAGACTCCTGATATTACCCAACAGTCCTAGCTGAGAACATAGAATGCCGCCGGCTTTCTTTTCTTTAAACTCCACAACGAGAAGTCCTTCGCTCTTAGAATATGTTACATCACATCCCCGAAATTCGATCTGCGCCTTCTTTTGGCAACTTTTTAGAAATTTTAGAAGGCGACCTGCCTGCTGAACGACATTGTATTCCTTTTGCCTTACACTAAAGAAGGCGTATTCCAAGTTTGGCATGTTTTCCAACTGCTCAAGGGCTTCCACATGACTAAATTTGCAACTCAGGTATTTTAAAGATTTTATGTTAGCCAGCTCTTCGGTTTCGTCATAACCCAACGTGCCCACAGGTGAGTAAAAGTACTGCAGGGTTTGTTCTTCCATGGAGGACAGAGCCATAAGAAGTTTACATAAAGATTCCTCTTTCGGCCTGGATGAAATGCAAAATTCCTGCAAATCCGTAAGGTTTGCGATTTTTTCCATATTAACCGAGCTAAGAAATCCACATTCCACCGATTTCAAGGATTTTATAAAGGCCAGAGCAGCGGTTTCTTCGCTGGTCAACCAACTTTTATTGTAAATCACAAGCTCTTCCAATTTTTTGGGCTCCTTGCCACCAAAACCACGTAGAAGCTCAAGAAGTGAGCCATTCTGGTGGGTCCCTTGAATGGTGAAGTATTTTATTTCTGGAATTTCCGATAGAGAAGCAAACCAGCTCAAATCAATGGGATCGTAACGCGGTAGATATATTATCAAGCGCTGGAGATTCCAATCAAGGCAAAGTCCTGACTCTTCGTGGGTCAAATCGATGCGCATTTCTTGTTTGGTTTCCTTTAAAATCGCTACCACTTGGATAGCAATATCGAAATTTAGCGGAGTGGTTATACTCACATCTTTAAGATTATCCATTTTTGCCAGAAGGCCGACTGACTGGGGATCGCTGAAACCACACGTCAGTACTTGCAAAGACTTCATCGAGGTCATTAAAGACACTTCATCCGGATTGAGCTCCGCATCTTCCAACGTTAGGATTGAAATGTTGCTTTTAGCTGCCTGCAAAAAAAAGGGCTGCAAAGTTCCCGGCTCATGCTGTCCAATAATATAGAATTGCTTGAGTTCGGACAATCTGCCAAATGATTCGTACTGTTTGATGTTCTCATTCGGATTGATTTCGATCCTCAGGTGCGAAACGGACTTGCAATAAGGAACTATATTGGCCAATGAACCCTTAACCTGGAAATCGGTTATGTCCACCGTTTTAACATCTTTCAAGCTTTGTAATTCCTTTACAATATCTGCAACGGGCACGATAACGTCATCGTTAATTGCTGTACTCATATTATCGCAATTGAATGGGTTTGACTCAAGTAAAGAAAATAATAAAATAAAATTTCTTGGGTGGTTTCTTTAATTCTAAGCTGTTTGTAAAAGAGGTGATAAGAAAATGATAATATAACAAATGTTAATTTAAGAGCATACTGGGATTAGTTGGTCAAAGAAATTGTTTTGCTTGAAAGCCTTTTTATTAACATTTTGCATTTTCGGATTTGTCATACAAATGTGAAAAAATCGACCCAAAAATCGAAACAAAAATATATTTTTTTGAGGGATATAAATCTAAGATCGGACATCATTAAGACATTTTTTCGGGCTTTTTAGTGCTGGTTGTAGGCTATTTAAGGTTTTTTCCTGCTGAAACAAAGTTACTCAACTTCTAGAATGCCTCACAATATGCGATTCGAGAATATCCGAAGCTGATATCTTGGTGCTCCCCAAGTATCGCTTATTGCATTTAAAGGCCCTAAGGGAGTTAGTCCATTTCAGTCCCCAGTTAGTAACTTGATTTGCTTACTTCCTAAGTTGCTCCAAAATGAAATCCTATAAAAGGCGGTGAACCAACTTAGGTCGGTTTTAGTATTTGTTGGTTTATTGCCTGAAAATGCAGCTGAAGTTTATTGTTATTGTTCCAGTTTTTTTAATTTTGCAACAAGCAGAGGCTGTTATTCCAAATTGCAACTATTATGATACTGTTGACATATCCCACATTCAAATTCAAAATGGTTCCTATCCGTACAATGATGAATTTATTCCCGCTAGCCTAACTGGAGAATATGACTTCAAGGAGCTGTCTGACGGATCCACAAAACCGGTAAAGAAACATCTTAGAGGTTGTGCTTGCAAGGTGATGTACTGCCTCAGGTTTTGCTGTTCCCGGAAGAATATTTTACCCAACGGCAACTGCGGCGATGGCTTGAAGGAAGATCTCTCGCGATTAACTCCATATCTCAATATGACCGTCGAGGACGGATCGACTGAGCCAATGAACCTGGCCATCGACCTGGTCATTCAAAGGGATCAGTTTGAGATTTGCGACGTGGTAGACAAACTCAGTGAAAATGAGTACACATTCTACGAGGTTAGTATTTTGACATTTGTTTCGATCAATTAAGTCTTAATAAAAACCATGCTTTTTAGGACGGTAGCTTGCATTTCCGCAACTCATATAACAAACGCTTAAATAAACGCTATTACTGCATCTATCCAAAGTTTTCCTCAGACTTTCCCAAGTCCATTTGGGTCGTACGACATAAATGCGTTCCAAAAACGACACCCGTGTTTAAAGAAGGTAACTAAGGTTTATTTAGCTAAATGTGCCACACTTTAACTCTATTTTTTTCGTTTCTCTAGTTGGCATTATGTCACAGATATGCTATATACTTACGATCTTGGTGTATCTCTACGTAAAAAAGCTTCGGAATCTTTTTGGAAATTGCTTGGTTTGCAGCTTATTTTGCCGGCTAATGGGCAATATTCTCTCGTTTATGGATATTTATAGAATTTCATCAACTAAAATTTGCTCTGTCACAGGTAAATGAAAAAAAAATAATAATAACAAAATAAATATAATAATAATAAATCAATATTATGTTATGACAATGATATTAAACTATCTTACAGGCTACAGTGGTTACTTCTTCAAGATATCATTTCACATTTGGCTATGTGTCATTAGTTTTCATATGTGGAAGGGCTTGCGATCGGTGAATAAGATCAAAACTAAAAGCCGACATCGATTTTTGGTGTATTGCTCCTTTTCGTGGGGAATGGCTGCAATTATGACCGCAATCATCATTATTATAGATACTATTTGGGAGGACGATCCTGACAAACTAATGTGGAGACCCGGGGTTGGCATGTTTGAGTGCTGGGTAAATTGTGGGTTTCTTCTGTTCTCAAATATAGGGTATTCCAAATCAATATAAATTACTTTAATTTTCAGCTGTCGGCTGGTCTGGAATAATATATGTTATTGGACCAATAGCGATCCTAACCATATTTAATGTGATCATGTTCATTCTGACGACAAAGCACATGATGAAGGTGAGAAGTGAATTAAAAAAAGTTTACAGACAACCAGGAAAAGACAACGCAGCTCAACTCGGAAAGAAAAAGGTACTTATTTACATATTTTGGCCTCAATAGAGGAACGTAGAAATATTTTAAGAACAGCTTGAAAAGAAAGAAGACCCAATTTATTTTTTATACATATTTTGTTTAAAGTTACTGGCAGTTTGTGCGGCTTTCTGTTCTAATGGGCGTATCCTATATACTAAGTGTTATTTTATACCTTACGCAAAAAAGCGATCTTGGTCGGATTTTCCTGTTGGTAGTAAGCTATTTTCATAATAGCTTTGGTATTCTCGTTTTCGTGCTGTTTATCCTAAAAAGGAGCACGTTACGACTTATCCTGGAAAGGTTTGTTTTTTTCGATCCATACCAATCTTATAGTAACCTGGTCTATTTACTTGCAGGATTCGAGAATGATTAAAGTTTAAGTGGAAAAACATTTGCTGTGAAAAAAAAATTTATAAATATCTATTTTGTTGCATTGTTTGTTAAATTTAAATTTAAATTTAAAGTTTTGTAGTTACTGTAATTAAATCGGAGAAAAGTAATAAACAAGTGCCCAAATATTGTTTGGAAGGAACCACCCAAAAAGGCAGCTCTTAAATCAATCTCAACTTTGGTCACGCTGCAGACAAGAAGAAGAAGACTTTCATTCAAAAGTTAGCCGACAAAACAACAACAGGCTGATTTTGGTCAGTTGTATAAAATCAATCATACGCCACATGCGCAGTGGCGGGCGTGGTGAGAAAAATACGAGGAGTCTGGCAAGCAAAGAATGGCAAGCAGATGTCCCTGGAAAAGCGGTTTAGATAAATATAGTAAACAGTGAATGTGCAAAAGCTTAAATTCATTTAAAACCTTAACAAAATCTGCAGAGTTTTTTGATAAAAACATGACACCAAGTGGCTAATTACCAGGTCAGCCAATTGTGTCTGTTTTTTATCGATTTGTGTATCACCCTGGTTGTTGGATTTGCACCCTGTTTTGCGAGAACCACAGGCAAAACAACAGAGCACCCACGCCAATTTGGTGGCCAATCTGGAAAACAATGCCAAGGTCCCATTATTGTTGGGGCATCTAAGCAGCGGCAGTAATTAAAAAGTGATTTGCCATTGGAAATTGGAAAGAGAACAACAGCAGAATACCATGGATGTGGGCGGGCAGGAAACCACCTATGAACCCCTGGACGGACGTGGCTCAGGACGTTCGAGGAGCTCCCATTCCACGTCCGGTTCCGGACTGAGGCATCCTGGCAGCATGGACAGTCCCGAGTTCGATACTCGAGCACCCAAGGATCAGCGGCACTCCGTCTACCTGGCGCTCTTGGCAGCCGGCATTGGATTTGTTTTGCCCTACAATAGGTAAAAATTTACAATAAATCTCCCAAATTGTTTTTCGTTTTCCTAAATCGTTAATAACATGCATATTTAAAGAGATCTGCTATGAACAGAAATATTTTTTGCTAAAACTGCTCTCAAATTATTAGTTTAAAACGTTGTTTACACTATTTATTTATATATTTAGTACATAACTAAAAATGAGAGAAATAATTGTATTGAACAACGTAGGGGAACTTATGAAGACTATTTATACAGTCTTTATGAACTGAAGTTTATGTATAGGTGAATATGGCTAATATCTAAGAAATGTTTATTTAATAATAATAATTTGATAAAAAATGACAAAACATCGACCAAAAAATCGGAAATAAATTAATGATGAGGCTTGATAGATATTTTAATAATAAGTTCAGCAAGATATGTCACACATAGTATAGAAATAAACACTCATCCTCAAATTTTATTATGTGATTAAAAAAAAATTTCTGTTCTTAAATAAGACCCCCTAATTTGTTAATCCGCAACTTTTGGAAAAGACACTAATGAAATCGTGATACTTTTTGTTCCCTAGCTTCATTATTGCGGCGGACTACTGGCAGGCTCGTTTCCCGGGTCGTCCGGTGGCCCTCGACATGTCGATGACGTACATCTTCGTGGCCTTCGCCACCGTGCTGATGAACAACATAGTGCTATCGGTGGCGCCGTTCCAGTCGCGTGTGCTCTTCGGCTACATGATCTCCTTCACCACGCTGATCTTCGTGGCCGTCTGCGAGGTGGCCTGGCACATGTTCGCCACCAACACCGCCTACCTGGTGAACATGTCGGCGGTGGCACTGACCGCCATCGGATGCACCGTGCAGCAGTCGAGCTTCTACGGATTCGCCTCCATGCTGCCCAAGCAGTACACCCAGGCGGTGATGGCCGGCGAGAGCATCGCCGGCTTCCTGGTGTCTTCCAACCGCGTCGTCACCAAGCTGCTGATCAACAACGATCGTGTGTCCACGGTCATCTTCTTTCTGACCTCCACGCTCTACATTCTCTTCAGCTATCTGCTGCACGTGGCCACCATCAACTCGCCGTTCGTGCGGTTCCATGTGGAGGCCTGCTCCAAGATCGTTCTGCGACCAGACGAGGTGAGTCGAGGGCAAGGGATCCTTTTCAATTACCCAGTAAACAAAAATACCTTTTTTAAAAATTATTGGTAATCCGATGGAATGATGATGATAAAGGGATCACAGCATCATAGAATTTACACCAAAAATACGTGAAATATTTATTTTATGCTTTTAATGGGAATTTTAACAAGAAGTAAATAAGTTTTATTAATCTCAACTGATTACAGATAGTAGTTTCTTATTTAGACTTAGGTGACCGCTTAGCTCGGAACTGCTCGTCAGTAGATCTAATGCTGTAAATACTGCTGGGCTCTTTGTACGCATCTGGAGGTGGTTGGCGACATCGGTCACAGGGTGTAACATTCATAGAAAGAACTTCAGGGGTTTTCATGAAGTCTTCAGACAGGTGTTCGACAAGACCAATCATTTCCGTTAACATTATTAATTGATCAAAATGGGAAACTCCACGCAATAAATTGTTAGAGTTTGGATTAAAAGGCGAAACCAGATCCTTCATAAGCTGATATAGAAAATTCGCTGTGAACAAACAATGAGCGTTTCGATTATTTAACGTTAGCCGAGGGAGTAAACCTCTATAAATTACTTCAAATACATCCACATTATCTTCATCGTTTTCCAAGTCAAAATATTCGTTTAGAGATAGATAGCTAAACACTTTTTCTATAATGTTAAATTTTTGAATAGGGCTGTGACGTTTTGAAACTTTTAAGGCCACGAAAGATTTTCTATCTGAAACGGCAGCCACCTCTTCGGCCGTTGGCTCCATTTCCTGGATACTTTTATATATTTTTTTGTCGTCAAGATCACTTAAAAAGCTTAACACAGATCCCTTTGTGATAAGGATAGTTAGGGACTCAAGTTGTTGTAACTCGGCCAGAAGTTCTATATTTTGAGAACATTTAAGGCCACATTTAAGAACTTTTAAGTTACTTATTGCTGTCACAAGTCTCAGTTCCTCCGGTTCAACAATAGCGATCTCCAACTCCTCTAGGTTCTGCATTTGAGTAGGAACGAGACATTCGAAGAGCTCAGTTAGGAAACCGTCCTTCAGATTACCCAAAATCACAAGCTTTCTTAGGTTTTTCACATTGGCCAGAGGGCTGAAGACGGCTACATTTATATCTCTCTTGATAAAATCCAGGATCAGCGTCACAGAATTATTTTCGTGAATTATTCGAACCTGGCATAAGTTAGTTGTGATCGTGTCCACTCGGTTTGTTATCTCTCCAAGGGCTTGAAGCTGCTCAAGCTTAACGCCAATCATCTGCTCCAACTGGCAAAAGTCACAGACAATAGTTGTTAAAGACAGAATACAAGTAAGATAAGCAGCGTGAACACAAGTGATTTGTGTTTGTCTTGTAAACAAAATACAGCTAAGAGTCTGTGGATTTTTGACAGCGAATCCCAGTATCAGGACTTTCCAAGCCCTTGGGCCAAAGTTTCCCAACAAAACCAACTGATGTACATTGGGTAACTGGCACAGGGGTGCCAAATGTTCATTTCGTAGCCGGCGCAGGGGAGCCATACGCATGATATTAACTTTATTACCATATTGAAAAGCTCCACTACTAAAGTTCAATCGCAAAATCCCACCTTCCTCGCTGTATGTGATGAGTAATTGGTAACTATCTATAAGTAGGGCTATGCGAATTTTTGGTATCAATGGCACCAGATACTCCATGGCGCTATATTGTTCGGGTTCTGTTTTCACTGACAAATGCTCAAGGTTTTTCATATGGTTTAAATCCGCAATGCTCGAAAGACTTCTAAAAGATGTCAAGATCCAGGTTAAAGAATTTATCTCAATCAAAGCTCGGGTCTCCTCCTCACTTACAAGAATGTCCGGGATGGATATAAGTTTCAATTTCGAGGACTTTAGGCTTTTTAATAAACTTAGCAGGGTTCCCTCCTCGGGACATCCTTTGATCTTAAGTTCCGTGAGCCGAGGTAACTTGGCCAGGGCCGCATATTCTGCGGCATCCACATCCGACTTCATTGTAAAGTACAAATTTTCTAATTGATTACAGTATGGAACAATATCCGTTAATCGGCCATGTAGTTCCGTGTTGTGAATATTAAGATGGCGTAAGTTCGGATTCAAGCTGCACATCTTGACCAAGTCGGAGGCCTCCATTTTAACATTGAGTTCGAGTCTTGTCAGGTGGAGGACATTCGGCATAATTTCGAAGCTGTACCCTAAAACGTATGGCCTTGTTTCTTAGTATACCAAAAACTTTTTGGATAAAACTCACCTACAAAATCGATGTAAAGCTCGCGCAGGGTGGTTATTTTTCCAAGACAATGTAATACTGCCTTCAACGTGTCTAAATGATCGGGGTAATATCGATTTGTTTTGTAAATCAACTTTACCGACTTAATTTGTTTGTGGTTTTCGATCGCACTGAGAAAGTTTTTCCAAAACTTTTCCTTGTCTATTTTGGATACGTTTCGCAACGACTCGTATCTTTTCGCGAAATCAATCTCAACCCATTGTGATTGGTGTAAAAAGGCATCATCGATCTCAAGGGATTCATAAAGAGCAGGGCTCCAGTCTTTGAAAGCTTTTGCTATATACTTGTCGGCGATGACAAAATTTATAAGATCCATGTATTGGACAAGAATGTATTTATTTTGTAACTCTTTGCACGTCTCACAATTAGTTTTAATCTGTTTAAATATCTCAAACAAACAGAAAGTGTTTAGCTTATAAATTTCTGGCATTTCGTTCATATTTGCAGGGTTATAATTTTCCATTGTATTGAAGTGTACTTCAATTTTGGTTGTATTCTCGCTGGGAGTAATTCACAAAAAAATTCCGGTATTTTTTAATTCGATTTTGTAATCACTTTCTATAACATGCGCTTCACTTTACAAAGTGAAAGAATCACTTGTTATTTTGTTGAGCCTTTTTCAAATGGCAGCACTGATTAAAATGATGAATGGACAGAGAATGGACTTCCTCAACTACAGAATGATAGATTTAATGCTAAGATAGTTAAATTGCTTTTTCAGCTTTGATTTTTTTGCAGTTCGATTTGATCGACCGCTTTGCACAGACTAAATTTGCCATGAACGAGTGCCTCTATAATGTTAATAAAATCGTATAAATAAAAACAGCATAACAGCAGAATATATAAATACGTACATATATGACAAATACATATATGCGATGGCTCATCATTAAAACGCTTTGATAAAAACTGTTTAAAGAAGCAGCTGTTGGCTTTTATTTTCAATCAAATCTGTCATTGTTCCATTTCTCAGCAAAATCTTTTATAAAATCGAATTTATATTAATTAAGAATGAGTTCTTAAAAAAGTTGATAATCTTAATGAATAAAGAGCCAAGCGACGGTTTCTTAAATGGTAAATCCCTCCAATACTAATTGGAATTAAAGAAATACAGAACATAACTTCAAATCTACGATCTGTCAAACTGTCTATGGTGTAGGCCACCAATTTCTTGACATTTGCGGTTCAGCGGCGTGTAAATACAGATCACTGCCATTTCGAAAATTTTCTTCCTCGGGTTGCTCAATATCTAAAAAGGCTGCATTGCATTCGTCCAACTAAAAAAAAAATTTGCTGATTATTATTGGTATTTATATTATTATATTTAATTGTTTACCGGCTCAGGAATTATCGAATCATCAAGGGGACAGCATAGCTTCAACGGAGCTTGAACTTTGGGGGTCTCTTTCCGATTTAATAATGGTCAACAGAGCGTCGATAAATTCGTGACTAAGCGCATTTTTAAGAAGAATAGATCTCAGTTTTTTGCAGGACCTAAGTATTGGTCTCATTTTATTTTCTATTTGACTGTGGGAAGAAATAATTTCTAGTTCTTTCAGCTCAGTTAGTTGTGCCAAAATTTCAAAGCTGGCATCATTCGAAAACCCGACAGTTAGTTTTTCTAGTTGTTTCATACTTCCAATGGCTTTAGTTTCCTTAAAATCAATATGTGTCTTGTTTAAGATTAAGATACGAAGTTTTTGTGAGGTTTTAAGTAAATCTAGAAGCCCCTTCAAAGGATATCCTTCAGGGTTTTCTATGTACAGTTCAGTCAGATTTTCGAGCTGAGCAGCCATTTCAATGCCCATTAAAAATTGATCAAAGTCCCACACTCTATGTGCGATCAGGGATAACGATAACTTGCAAAGCTTTTGATTATAAGGCAAAACTAGATTCTTCATAAGGGGCAGTAGACAATTGGCTATGAATAAACAATGTATGCGAAGATCATTTAAATTTGGCAGAAGTCCTAAAAGTTCAAAATTGGCCGGTATGGAAGAATAATGTGAAACAAAATATCTCGAAGAAACCACACTAGCTTCATCCGTTCCACCATCTATAAATTGAACTTTCTTATTGTGTTCTAAATCAATATTTTTCTTACGAGATGGGTCACACTTTTTGCAACTTCGATAGCTGAACACTGTTTCTAAAATGTTGAATTTATTTTTTGGACTGCGTTGTCCTAGTTGCAATTTCTTTAAGGATTTTATACCTGAAACGGCAAACACCTCTTTTGCGGTTAGCGGCGTTCTCTGAATACAGAGAGTTTGAAGAATATTTTTGTCGGCCAGGATATTGAAAATCCTTGTCAGAGATCCCTTTGGATGAACAGTGATAGTTAAGGACTCTAGTTGATTTAACTCGGCCAGAAGTTCTATGTTTTGATTGCAGAAAAAGCCACACTGAAGGACTTTCAAGCTACTAATTTGAGTCAACAATCGCAGTTCCTCCGGTTCAACGACAGCGATTTCCAATTCCTCTAGATTCCGTGTTTTAGTGGGAACCAGACATTCGAAGAGCTCCGTTAGAGAACCGTTCATAAGATTACCCAAGATCACAAGCTTTTTTAAGTTTTTCAAATTGGCCAAAGGGGTGAAGACGCCTACATCAAGATCTCTCGCGATAAAATCCAGGATCAGCGTCACTGAATTGTCTTCGTGAATTATTCGAACTTGGCATAAGCCTGTTGTAATCGTATCCACTCGGCTTGTTATCTCTCCAAGTAATTTGAGCTGCTCAAGCTTAACGCCAATCATCTGCTCCAAGTGGCAAAAGTCACAGATAATAGTGGTTAAAGACCGAATGGAAGCAAGTAATGCAGCGTGGACACAAGTGATTGTGGAGTCTTGTGTAAACAAAATACACCTAAGAGTCTGTGGGTTTTTGCTAGCTAATCCCTGAATCAGGACTTCCCAAGCCCTCGTGCCAAAGCTCCCCAGTATAATCAACTGATGCACATTGGGTAATTGACATAGGGGTGATATAAGTTCGGAATTTACTTCAGCAGCATCGTCTTTCTTTCTAAAGTTCAATCGCAAAAATCCACCTTCCTTGATGTAAGTGATGAGTAATCGGTGACTTTTTGTGATAAGTCCTACGCGAATTGTTGGTATCAGTGGCACCAAATACTCCATTGCGGTATATTGTTCAGGCTCCGTTTTCACTGACAAATGCTTCAGTTTTTTCATATGGATCAAACCCGTAATGCTCGAAAGACTTCTAAAAGAGGTCATGATGCAGGCTAATGAATTTATCTCCCTCAAAGCTCGGGCCTCGCCCTCACTTATGAGAACGTTCGGAATTATTATCATTTTCAAATTCTTGGCCTTTAGGCCATTTAATAAGCTGATCAGAGTGCCCTCCTGAGGACATCCTTTGAGCCTTAGATGCGTGAGCCGAGGTAACTTGGCCAGGGCCGCATATTCTGCACCATCCACATCCGACTTCATTGTAAAGGACAAATCCTCCAGTTGATGGCAGTATGGAACAATATCCGATAGGCGGCCATGTAGATCCGTATTGTGGAAATTGAGTCGTCGTAAATTCGGATTTATGCCGCACATCTCGACCAAGTCAATTGCATCCATTCGAACATTCAGTTCAAGTCTTGTCAGGTGGACGATATTTGGCACAAATTGGAAGCTATATCCTGAAACGAAGATCTCTAGTTGGTGGCTTTCCGAAAACTTTTTGCATAAACTCACCTGCAGAATCGACAAAAAGTTCGCGCAGTGTGGTTCTATTTCTTAGACAATGTAAGACTGCCTCGAACCTGTCTAAATGTTCGGGATAATATCGACTAGGGTTGTAAATCAACTTTACCAAATACACTTGTTTGTTGTCTTCGATTGCGCTGAGTAAGCTTTTCCAAAACTTGTCCTTGTCTACTTTGGAAACGTTTTGCAATGACTCGTATCTTTTCGCAAAATCAATCTCAATCCATTGTGATCGGTTCCAAATAGCATCATTGATCTCAAGGGATTCATATAGAGCAGGGCTCCAGTCTTTGAAAACTCTTGCTAAATTCTCGTCGGCGATGACAAAATTTATAAGATCCGAATATTGAACAAGAATATATCTATTTTGTAACTCTTTGCACGTCTCACAATTAGTTTTAATCTGTTTAAATATCTCAAAGAAACAGAAACTGTTTAGATTATAAATTTCTGGCGGGTTATTCATATTTTCACGCTTAAAATTCAAAATTTTATTTACATATGTTTGTTTTTGGCTTTATTTTGTTTCTTTGTTTTATATTTGAAAACATTGTGAATCGAAAGAGTTCCGATTTGTTTCGAGTTGCTGCATTATTAAGTACTGATAATGATAAGATAGTGAATTAGATTTGTCAGCTACGAGCTTTTAATAGATGAATGTTTGCTTAAGGTAGCAATTGCCTTGCAGTTCTTTTTAGTCAACCGGCTTCGCACTAACTAAATTTACAGCGAACGAGCTCCTCAAAACTGTCAAAATTATTGATAAAGACCGCAGGTCGCGAAAGCGAAAGCTTTGTGTTCGTGGGTTCCGAAGACATGATCTTATGAATATATGTATGCCAAAAACTCACGCTTATCGCTTCTGATGAGTCACTATTGAAACGCTTTAACAAACAGCTGATCGTTTTTATTTTGATTATTTATAAAATGGGTCACTGCCCCATTTATCTGCAAAATCTTTTAGAGTCTCAGGCTCATTTGTTAAATGAATCAGAGTTTACTATTCTTAATCAACATGATTAATGGTTAAGATGGTAACTTATATTTTATATTTAAAATGTTGCAACGTTTAAAATATAATAAATAAATAAGTAACAATTATTATTTACTTCATTTAAAAAAATTTGATTTTCAAAGTATTTTTGTATTTGTTTCTTTCGAAAACAGCAGGAGATTGACGGACTTCCCAGTAGTACTCGATACGGGGTTCTCTCGATGGACGGCACCCACACCACGACCACTTCGGTGGGTCCTCCAGGCACCGGGAACACTCTCAGCTTCAGCAATCCCGTCTACGAGCTGTCCAATCCGACGGCCGGCGAGAGCAGCATCGAGGCCTTGGGCCAATTGCCAGAACTTCCGGCCACGCCCCCTGCCCAGGAACCCACAACGCCCACGACGGTGGCCTTTAAGGTAGGTTGCATTAATAACAATGAATAATTTATTATTCATAACAATTAATAACTATTACAAAAACAAATCGTTAAATAATAAGTTAGGTATACTCGTAAGTACGAGTAGAAGAATTAAAATCTTAAAAAACATATTCAATATATTTCCGATTGGCAGGATAATTAGTTGTCATAGAAATATTGCATATATATTTTTTTATTTTTTTATTTAATAAAAAATAACTAATAAATAATAATAATTCTTAATTAAATAATTTCCCAATTACCATTTAGCATCGAATTGTACATTCAATACAATTTTATTACCTACTTATTACATTAAAAAAAAATAATAATACCTATATAAAAAAAAAAACAAATTGAATTTCAAATATATTTTGTAGATAGTAATTGAAACATTTTTTCGGAAACTGTTTTAACCAGCAATTGAAAGCCCATAACTTTTTTAAATGTTGTCCGATTTTTGATTGCTATATCTCAAAATGCGTGTGAAAGAGTCCCCTAAGATACTGCATCATTAGTTTGGTTTCGATTTTTGGTTCGATTTTCTACACATTTTTATAATGTGATCGCTGTCAAAAATCCAAATCCCTTTATTATGAGGCATTATTGTTTCGGGTAAATCTGCATAAACTTAAATTCTATATTAGAAACTTTTAAACTGTAATAGAATGATACGTTATTATAAAATAGAAAATATAATATTGTTCTAAAACTTAATCATCCTTCAAGGTGGAGCACGTGATCACGCCCCGTCGCTGCCGACCGAGCAAGTTGGGCGACATCCGCGAGGGATTCGTGACCCGGTGGCGGGTGGCCCAGGTGATCTATCCGCACATGGTGTGCATCGCCCTCGCCTACTGCGTGACCCTCTCCCTGTATCCGGGCATCGAGGTGGAGGTGCAGTCCTGCGCTCTCCGCTCCTGGATGCCGGTGCTCCTCATGTTCTGCTTTAATACGTCGGACGTGGTGGGCAAGATTCTGGCCGCCAGTCCGTATCCCTGGTCCCGTCGCCAACTGATCCTGCTCTCCGGCCTGCGGATTGTCCTCGTACCGCTCCTGCTGCTCTGCTGTGCGCCGCGCCAGCGACCCGTAATCTCCGGCGAAACGGCGCCGTTCGTCTTCACCATCGCCTTGGGGATCACCAACGGGCTGGCCGGCAGCTTGCCCATGATGCTGGCACCGGCGAAGGTGCCGGGAACCCTCAAGGAGGTCACGGGCAACATAATGACACTGTCGTACAATGTCGGGTTGACGGTGGGCTCCCTCATCGGTTACGTTTTCGAGAGCATGCTGGGGCCGCAGCTGGTGAATCCCTGTCCCACATATCCCTATGTGCCCGCTTCGATGCTGGAGCAGTTCCATGGCCACGGACATGGACACGGCCACCTGCCGCACCCGCTGCCCCTGACCAGCACCAGTACGATGAGCCCGCCCACCACTGGGGCCACCACACTGGCACCGCTTCTGCTCAACACGACGCTGGCATCGCTGGGTCTGTCCACCTCGAGCACCAGTTCCAGCTCCTCCACCACCACCAGTACCGCCAGTCCGGCCCTGGCCACCGTGATCACCAGCACGGCATTGGCGCTCTACAGTACGGTGGCTGCGGGCAGTGCCGAGGTCATCAATGCCACCATCTCATCGATCCTTTCGACGGTGACCAGTTCGGTTGGCGACATTAGCGACGAGTTGACCACGGATCCCCAAACGCCGGACGCACTGGTCGACAATATCTAAGGGGGATAAAGGGTGATTTAATATGGAAATCGGGAAAGAATAGCCATTTCAACATTCTACACAAGCCATATCTACACAAAAATAATTCTACACAAGTTTATTGCTAATTACTGATATTTAAAGATTGTATAGATTGTTTCTAGGTAATCCCAGTGATTTATTTTTGCGTTTGCATTAATAACAGAATAACTTTATATACCTTAAAAATATTTCAAAGAATCAGACGAATTTGATCATTCGAAAAGAATTTTTTATCCCTTTTTTAAAGCTTTCTGTAATGGCTAGTATAATACCTAAGATGTAAAATTTTCCAAATATACATTTCAAGCTCAATATGTAAATGTGTGAACGAAGATTCCAGTTAATAGCAAGCGCAAACTTCTAACTTTAGTCAATAATACTCCTGTATGTATTATATACTATACATATATCTATAACTATAAAGTGTCTAGGGTATTTGTGCTTTCGGTTTGATTTCAGCTCTTCTATAGACTGAAGTCCAGGACCCATATAATAATCTCGAAATATACTCCAAGTGCTATGGATTTCAAATTGCAAACCTGTTGACCTAGAATTAAATATGTATGCTTAAGTGTGAGTGGATGTGCAAGCCAAGTGATTGAAAAACATGCCTGGTTATTTTTGTAAGAGTGAGAAATGGATAATTGCAAATGCAGGCAACATAATGTTAAATTCAAAGCCATATTATGTTTAAATTAGGAAGCACATCCCTGAAAAACGTTATATATCATTTCGATTTCATTTTGTTTTAAGTTTTCAAGTTAAGTCCTTGTTGTAAAAATTAATTAGTTTGAGTATCGGGTACTGTAAGTGTTGTAAGCATTGTAAGCCACAAAAAGAAGTGCAAAGTCTTGCCTTAACCTAATTGGTTGCTTTTAAATATTTTCTTTGCCTTTGATTAGAACGGCAAAAAAGAAACGACAACAGAACCTGCAAGAAAAAGTAAATAAATGTTAATATAGAGATATTTAAATATTTTACCACAAGTGTTTTTCTATGCCAAAAAGTGCAGACACGGCAGTCGATAGTTTTCTGGGATTTTTTTTTCATGGGTAGTCACAAATATTAATAAAAATAATATTAAATAGTTGTGCCTTTCAAAAACTCTCACGATGGTGTTAATGACGTACACAAGCTAGTATGTCCAGTCTAGTATGTTCGTTTCCCTTATAACCGCAATTATTCCTACTGTCTGTTGGTTTTAGCTTTCAGGTTGGGAAATATTATACAAAAATATTGAAGAATGGTGAACTTTGCTTTGCTAAATATATATGAACCTTTATAATAAACAAAAAGCCTTGTCCAAACTTTACAAGGACTCAAAGGGTTTCGTAAATTTTCTGGAACGTTTACTACTTGGTTATTTTACGCCATCCTGCGAGACTATTTAGCTGAACAGCTTAGTCCTCTGAAAAATGTCCTTTATTGTATATTATAAATATATTTATCAATTTCCTATTGTTTTTGCTATAATTTTGCGGTTCGCCTTTAAAGACAATTTATTTTCATAAACTGTAAGTGGCGCCATCCTGGGGGGTTTTCAAATTTCCTTTATTTTATAAGCAATAAGGCAATATTTAACTCTAGTAATAAGTCCTTTATCTTCCATGGAATGTCCTTTGAAAAATGTCCTTTATAGATAGTTCTTATAAAATTTCTTTTGTTTTGCTATAATTTTATGGAAACTCCAAGGAATTCCCGGAAAAGAACATTTTTGGAAATATCCTTGTTTATAAACAAATGCACAGTATTAGTGTTTTTCCGTCAGTAGGTGGAGCCATCCTTAAAAGATCTTTTTTCAAACGAAAGCTCCTGTTAGCTCCACTGTTAAGAAAAATATCCGTTTAAAATATGTTAAGTGGCGCCATCCTATGATATTTCCAATTTTTTTAGTTTTACGATAAACAATCATACTTATACCTACTTATTTCCATAAATTTGTAAAACATGTTATAAAATAGATAATGTCAAATAAAACGATTTATATCCAAATTACTAGGGACTGCATTCCGATACATAGATTTTCGTTACGGTTTTTTTGTCTGACATGTTTTGCTGAAGTCTCATCAGTTTCTTACACTATAACGACTCATTCAAAAATGTATGACAATAAAAATCGCTTGTTAATATCCTTATCTACAGTTCTTTGATAATCGCTATCATGGTGTTCCAATTTCAAAAATGTTTCGTCATATCTGTGCAACTATAAAATATAAAATATAAAATAGATTAGGAAACCAGAAATCGGGACATCCCCAAAAAGAGCTCACCTGACTATGTCTTTCAAAATTACTCCACTTTCCGCGTAGTTTGAAAGACGGGTGTTTTTTTGGATCCCGGAAAAACTTAATATCAGTTAAGATGCCGTTAACATAATCTTTTGTTAAATAATTGTAGTATCTATAGAGAGAAATGGATTTGATGTTTGGGCACAAGTGAAGAAATAAGATAACAAAATTGTCTCCATCTTCCGCTGCGTGATGAGTCGATGTAATTTCCAAGACTTCCAGATTTTTTAATACGGTCAGCATACGGATTAATTTTTTTCTCGGCAAGACCGAGTCTTAAACGTTTAAGCTTATTTAATTTTGTTACTTTCACAATGTCTAAAAAGTGCAAATCAGTATTATCCAACAGTAAACATTGAAGGTTGGGCAAGGCCTCGAGTTCCTTAAGAAGTTCCCATACCGAAATCCCTAAGGGGTTATGTATGTGTAAATCACTAAGGTTTTGAAGTTGAGCTACACATTCAATACCATTCATGTGGTTAACAACGCACTCAAGGGATTGCAAATTTTCGAAAGTGGCTAGCAACCCAAAATCTTGAGATGCAATCGAAAGCTTGCTTAGTTTTTGCGAGGTTTTCGAGGCCAAAGTCCTGATCAAATTTTCCAGAGCTTGGGCATTGTAATCAAAGTAAATCCTCAGTTCCCTTAGGTCTGGCAGATTTACCAAAAGCTCCAAGTTTGAAGGCGTTAATTTATCGTAAAACTCTGTAATAAAATGATACTGAGCAGCTAAGGACTTGTTGAATGGTATAGATGTTAAAGTTTGAACAAAGGTGCGATGAACATCAGAAATTACTTTACTTTTCGGCGAACGACACTTTTCACAATAGCTAACGTCTATGTTTTCTGCTCTTCCGTCAGCTATCATTTCCCAATTGTTTAATTCACGTAGACCTATTTGCAAGTTCTCCAAGGATCTAAGGTGTGGAAGCTCGAAAACCTCATGAGAAGTAAGATTTGTGCCCTGGATAACGAGTGTTTTAAGTACTTGAACCTGCTTAGAGGCTTGAGCCTTGAACAACTTTCTCAGAGATCCTTGTGGATGGACGGTAAGAATTAGTGTCTCGAGTTGAGGCAACTCAGCCAATTGAACTACATTTCGCGAACAGAAAAAACCGCACTTAAGGACTTTTAGGCTTTTGATCTTAACTAGTTCAGCGATCTCTTCTGGGGCCAAAAATGCAGTTTCTATTTCTTCCAGAGATTGTGTTTTCAAGGAACACAAACTTTTGAGAAGCGGAATTAATGAGCCACTTAAAATGTTGCCCATGATCTGGAGTTTTTTGAGGTTTTTTAAATTGGCAAAAGGAGCAAAGAGTTTTGTATAGTTACCGCTACCCTCATGAAAAAAGATTATGATGAGAGTCACAGATTCGTGTCCGTGAACCAAACGAATTTCGAAAAACTCGGTTCTGATCCGATCCACTCGATTCTCTGTCACTATAACTCCATTGAGCTGCTGCAGTTTCACTGCGATCACTTGCTGTATTTGAAGAAAGGAACAGTCGATTGTGGTAAGCGTTGGTATCGAAGCCAAAGTAGCCATGTCATCTTGGGAGATTGTTTTGAGGTTGGGCAGTACTATCTCTTCGATGAAGCACCTTGAAGATGCCGATAATATATCGAGTGTTGCTGGCAAAATGCTATCTTTATAATAACCCTCACAGCGAAGACGGTAAGCACATTCGTACTCCTGGTCAAAAGCCTTTTGCATTAGCATCGGATCCTTGGTCTGCATCGCTTCATAATACGCATCAGGCATATAGTTCGAGGTATTTGCACGAATCGTTACTTTGATGCGGCCTTGATCGCTGTAATCATCATAATAGTAGGGCTCGGTTAATATGGAAATATCTGTTAGGTTCCCGCTTAAAGGTAAGTCGACATAGCTCGTGTTATCCTGCAAACAGCACTTGAGCGAAACTAAAGACTTGATCGAGGCCAATGCAATGGCTTCTTCGGTGGTGACATAAGTTTCCGGAATGCAAATCCTACGAATGCGTTTGCTTTTCAGGCGATTGAAGAGCTTGAGCAGAGATCCCTCCTCATGCTCGCCGAGCAAAATCAATTCGTTGAGTCGCGGCAAGTCGGCAAGTGCTTCACACTCCGCGGCATTTGCTTCGAATGTGTTCATGAAACTTAGATATTCCAATTGATTGCAATATGGCACAATTTTGGCCAGATCTCTGCCAAATAATTTGCTATTGTTTAGCTTGAGTCTGCGTAAGTTTGGATTTGATTTGCACAACTGCAGTAGGATATTGGCATCTATTCGCATATCCAGATGAACGTTTTCCAAATGGCAGATCTCCGGCACTCTTTCGAAACTATAATCTAAAGAAATAAAACCATAAATCGATTATAATCAGTGAATTGTTTTTGTTGAAGCTCACCCGTCATTTTTACCACGAGCGTTTTTAGTTTTTTCTTATTTGTAAGACTTTTTACAAGTTCTTCAAACCTGTCCAAGTGTTCAGGGTCGAAGACTGTTGGTATATAAATTAACTTCAATGATTCCAGTTGTTCGTTCTCCTTGATCTGGTTAAGATATTCAGTCCACAATTTCTTTCTTTCATTAATTGGGATTGCACGCATATATGCATGAACTTCTGCGAAATGGATCTCCAGCCAAGGAGATCTACTTAAAAATGTGTTTTCGATCATAAGTTTGTGATACAGGTCGGGGCTCCATTCTTTAAAAGCCTTGCTAAACATCTCACAACTGGTAACGAAGTTAATGAGATCATTGTACTTTGTTAACTTATCCTTGCTATTGCTGCAAGCACAGTTTATTTTAATCTGGCGAAATATTTCATTGAAACAGTACGAGTTCAAGTGATAAATCTTTGTTTTGCCTTTGAAGCCAAAATATTCCTTCATTGCTAATTTTTTGACTCGACTTATCGAACCAAATGTTTGGACTGACTAAGAGCTAGCGAAACATGTTTACTTCTCCTCAATGCTTATCTGCTCATATTGATAATTTGGCGTTTCACTCAGTGAACACAAAGAGAACCTTGTTATCTTTGGATAATAAAATATTTTGTATACTCTTTGCAAGGAGCATAATAAGTTTGCTTTTTGTTTCGCTTATTTTTTATTTCATATAATATTATTTCATAATACATACATAGTAATACAGGAAAAGATTTTTTCAGGGTATGAATTGATTATAAATTTCATTAATGTTAGCCCTAAGGGACGAGATAAGCTGTTCGTTTTCCTCCTGTTTCTCTTGATAGGATTTTAGTTTTAATATGGTAGCTGCTTGTTCTTCTAGAAGATCGTCCTTCTCCTTCATTCTTAAAGTTTCCAATCCCGCTCCCAATTCCAAAAGGGTTGTCTGATCATCTTTTCCCCTTATCTGATTTTCAAGATGTTGTATAAGTGCTTTATTTTCTGTTATTATTTTGTCTTTCTCCTTTATCTCGGCATTGAGAGAAGCCAGATCTTTATTTTTCTTCGCACCTATTTCATTTATTTTGGTTCTCAAAGAAGCTATAAGAATTTTTTGTTCCCTTTCTTTTTCACAATTTTCTTTTATTTGGTTTTTCAGAGAAACGATCAGCACTTTTTGCTGCGTTTCTTTTTTACAATTTTCTTTTATTTGGGCTCTGAGAGAAACAAGATCTTTATTTTTCTTTGCACCCATTTCATTTATTTGGGCCCTCAAAGAAGCTATTAGGGAGGCAGATTCATTAGGTTGCTTCATTAATTTCTTGTTTTCCTGGCCTAGTTTTATTTTTTCTTGCTTTATTTTGCACAACTGCTCCTCCATCGTTTTTATTTTGCTTGCCTGATTATCAATCTTTTCCTTGTTCTCAAATCTATACAGGTTATTTGACAATATTAGTGCCTCTATTATGTCGTTTTTGTCCTTAATTTTTTCGTCGAACATTGCAATCTTTTCGTTAGCCAGCAATAAATCAATTTCCGACCTTTTCAACTTATTTTCAAGTTCAAGCATTTTTGTGTCAATTTTCGTTTCCAGATCATTGCAGTTGCAATTACTGGCCTTAAAATAGGAAACAATTTACCTTATTTAAAAAGAGAAACATTTTAGTCGCTTACCTTTTCAGAGGAAGAATCATCATCGGAGCTGTAATACAGTATACTTTTTCTTTTCGAGTTCATAATGAGCGAGAAAACATAAACTGCAGCGATTGGCAGCCAAATGCAAACTAAATACAAAATTACTCTTCGCACATTTATTGATACAGTTACACAAAATGAAGTGTTGTTCAACTAGCCGAAGTTTGTAGGCGCTTTCAGTTGGAATTACAAGTGTTGAGTAAAATAGTCTTTCTAAGGTTTTGGAATATACATTTTTATTAAATTTTTTTTTTCTGAAATAATTGCTGTATACCGTGCGAATTTCTGAAATCAATATACCCTTGGCAAGGGTGAGTAAATTTTCTATCTAATCAAAAGCCAGGTTAGCAGTTTAAAATCCAATAAGGTACTTTCCTAAAATTATTCTTGACAGAAGATTGCAAAAATTGATTTTACATTGCGAAAATTGATTTTACATTTTTCGATTTTACATATTTTCTTCATTTCAACAATGTTTTTTGGTATTTTTTTTTGTCTTTTTTTTGGCTCATGAAAATTGTATCTATTTAAATGTAAATGATTTAATATCAAAATTTGGTTTTTCTTTAATTACAAATCCAGCAGCTGAGAAAATTCGGCATTTGCCGAGAGCCCAAAATGAATACAAATTGAATCAATTAGACGGAATCCGCCTGGAAATGAAAGCCAGAGATAAAGCTTTTGAAAACGGGGCCGATTGGCTTCGGCCAAATGCAAATTTATTTATTCCTTACCCACGTTCTTTTCGGCAGTTTCCCGCTGTAGCATCATGTTCCATTTCGCAAGCGGAAAAGTAGACGGGAAAACAGGTTAAGTTAAAACGACAACCCGGAATCTGGTCCAACAACAAAGTAGGCAATTAAATTTATTTTATTTACCCCCTCCTTTAATTTTTAGGGGCTTAAGGAAGTGGTGGAAAGCGCGTTGCACAACGATCCGAAGCGGAAGCGTTAGGAAAACTCGGCTGCACTACCAAACACCCGACCACGCCCCCATTTTCGAATGCCTTCCTTTGCATAGATAGCGGAAGTGCTTGGCCCTGTTTTCGGGCCCACCCGATTGCATATGAAGCCACTTTTATCGATTGCCTGCAGTTCGCACTTTGCCTACACATTTATAGCAGTCCTCGTCCTCGTCCTCGTCCTGCCGTCTTTTCAACTCCTTCAGTCCCGCTCTCCCTTCGACGCAATGTCATTGTCCCTGGGCGACTATTAACCTTTTGTGCAGCGATGGCTCAAAAGGGGAGTTACCCTCGATAATATAATAAACGGGGCCAATGAACCGAAGGCCAGCTAGAAAGCCGTAGGAGCTTAAATTGCAATTAACTTTGTTATCAATAACTTATCAACAACTTGTGTTACTTTTGCAATTTATTAAAATTTTAGTCGATCTTAATAAGAGTAAATTCTTTAAATAAAATTTCAACAGACACAGATAATTGTTATATTATTTTTAGGAAAATAAAACAACATGATTAGATTTCTTAAATAGACATTAACAATGTATATTAATTACTTAATTCTTGTGCCTCAAAATAAATACATTTTGATATAATTTTTTAAAAATATTTTTTTAAGGTAACTGGTAAATTAAGATCTTGTTTTGACTTTCAGGAAAGTAAATTGTACATAAAAGTGATTTTCCTACACAACTTTTCTGTGAAGATAACTGCTTGCCGACTTTCAACGACAACTTGGTCCCCTTGAAAGTCCAAACTAAAGTCGAATTTTGCACCACATTCCGCATTTGGGGGCTTCCGCCACATAAATTCCCCTCGAATGGAGGCCAAAGGAAGCCGTTCGGATCCGGCGGCAGAAGGAGGAAGTCTCCACGGTTCGCCGGGGCAACAAAAACAAGAGTGGATCCAAGCAGAAGAGCAGCAGCAAACTACTTCTAATAACAACAATCAACGCTCTCGACTCTCGGCTCTTCGGGTTGTTTGGGTGCTGTGTAATTACATGACAGCAACAGCAACAGACAAAAACAGCAATAACAACAACAACAACAACAACAATTGCTACAACAACAACATCAACTAAGGCAGCAGCAGCAACATTACGAATTACGATAATAATTTCCATTTCTAATTTCCTTGCCACGCAAAAGGCCTTTGCACTTACCGAGGTTGCCAAGCTGCCTGGCCGAGCTGCAACCCCCCACCCAGTAACAATCCCCACTCCCTGAAGCTCCCAGGACCTTCAGCCACCCTCCACCCGTCCATCGTCCTTCCGGCAGCGACAGGCTAAACAGACGGCCAGCACACTTGGATTATATGTACTATACCATACTACACTACAGTACTATTATACCAATAATTTTTAATTGATAATTATTAAGCCAAAGATAATTATATAAAATCTAGGGTTTTTTAGCAAGGAATATTCTTAATTCCTTAATAATTAAATAGCCTTACCAAAGGATTTTTTGTTTATAACTTAAATAGTTAGAAAGTCAACTGAAGTGTTATTTATGCTATTATTATTTTTTTTTTTAACCTATTACATTTTTAGAGAAAACAAAACCTTAGAAAATCTATAATTATACCGTCTTCTAAAATAATTCTAAAAATGTACGTGTGATATATATAAATAATGGTAGAATTTGTTTCAGTGTGCACAAATAGAGCGGGACGGGGAGGTGATTGCTGAAGAGCCAGGGCCAGACGTTGGCATAATTTCGATGCAGAAATCTAACAGAATGCAAATGCAATCATTGACTTTTTAGCTTATAACGAAATAAGCGTCGTGTTTATTGGTTGGCTGAACGACCGAGCGCCAGACTCGAAGCTCCCCTTTCCCCCGTCCCCCATAACCTCCTGGAAAAATGGGTAAAATTGGAGAACATCGCCGGAATTGTGGGTTGTGCATTTATAAATTCAAAGCCTCGTCGGGACTACTAAGTGGGTGGTAATGACGGCTGGGTTGGAACCAGTGGCAACTTAGAATTTCACACAAACTATGCCTAAGTTCGCTGACGTAAAAAGGAATAAAGAAAACTTTGATACCCAAATTAACTAGTGCGTATCAACCTTTTACAAATTTAGACGCAATTGATAAAAGAAAAAATAATGTTAAATAAAAAAGTTAGATATAAGTGTTAGCTCAACAATAGAAGAGAACGTTCATTAACGCAATCTCTGTTACCCCTAAATTATCCCACGAAATGTTATATTTGTTTGATAAGAAATCTTGTTCACTTATATTGTATTTTAGGCAAAATAGTTACCATTTTTTGGGAAAAAGGTATTTTTTACAAAACTTTTTTGACTGACAAAATAAACAAAGAAAACAAGTTTACAAGTTTTCCCTAGTACTTTAATCTTTTACATTCTTCTTAATCGAGTTAAATATCTGGCCTGAATCTAGTGAGCAACTAATGCTATATCTTTCCCACACTTTGGCACTATTTGCTCGACTTGAATGGGCTGAGCTTTTCACATGGCAATGCCAATCGAGGATATGCGTTGTCGGCTGTCATCGGGCAGGTGGAACTTTTATCCCTTTTTTTCATCCCAACCGCAGAGCGAAGTTCCGTTTTCCTTTTATGCCAGCACGCCTGGTATCTCCGAGGACGTTGCCTTTGTTTTTGTAATTTGATAATGCATTTGATTAAGGAAATGAAATTTTTATTAAGGCTGTTTGCTCATTCGCGTCGCTGGCATCGCGCCTTTCTTTTTATGATTTCCCCCCCACATTGCGAGTGTGTGTGTGTGTTTTGGTAGGATTGCCCTTTTTCCGCATTTTCCCTTTTTCGTGAGACGCTGTTTTGTTTCCCCCGCATCGTGCGAATTTTCCCTAACCCGGCAGTTTTGTTTTCGCATAATTTCTTTGAGTGCGGTTTGGATCTCGGCACTTTTACGATGCGCCAGAAACATGGCAGGTATTTCAGCTTTCCCTTTCTATTATTCAGACGAAACGTTTGCATGGCGATGGTTAAATGTGTAATTTAATTTTTCCCTCACAATTCCGTGGGCCATTGTATTTTTTGGCTATGACTTTGTTATCCTTTGATTCAATTCCCCGTAGGTGGAGAGTGTGTGTTTAGTTAATGTGTTGATGGACAGATTGACAGGAAATAAATAATGAGTGTCGCCAAGGGAATCGTGAATAATATAAAATCAGGCATTGTAATTGCATTTCTCCACCGCGCATAACAAGCCAAGCCGCACAAAAATGATTGTGTGTGTGTTGGTGCTCCACATTTCTCCCAGCGGACGCGAAAATTTATCACATTTTCTTTTTGTTTTTCCACGGCCTGGGACACGTCACGAAACGAGCAGGGAAAATCCTGAGGAGGACTTTTCACTGGCGAAGAGTGCAATGGAATTCGTATTCAACACCATGAAAAACCCTTCGTGCACTAACTAAGTGCGCTCATTCAACTCCGAAAAACAAACTTTTGCTATTGTTATTACATTTTTTACACATTTTGTTTTTCGCGGACGTCGGTGAGAAGGAGGTGGTTGGGTGGTGGTGCTGGAAAATCCTCTGCTGGTCATTGACTTTCCAGCAACTTTCCGCTTGACATTTAACGAGCATGTTAAGTGTTAGAATGAAGCCTACTTTTGTGCGTGTGGCCCACCCACAACCCACAGCCCACTGTTTACGTTATTTTGTTGCCAAAACCCCCAGACATTGTCCTCGGATAACAAAAGTTGTGTTGCCGTTATTCATTCCTTCTTAAAGCGGCTAAAAACTTTTAGCTGTTAGTCGAAATCTGTTAGATTTAAGCCAGCCAGCCGAGTATTTTTCCCCATTGCAACATCGGAATGTGGGTCATTGGCTGTAAAGTTGTTTTAAAGAGGTGACCGCATTTATTATTAAAATTTAATCAAGGAAAATTGTTTGTTAAGAAAACCAGAGCGATTGGCAGGTAATGCAATATTTGCACGAATTCTTAAAGTTCTTAAGAGTATAAAAAAGGCGATATAGAATTGTACCCCTATTTTGAAGATTTTGATTTTGTAATACAGATGACATATTTTATATCTGAGAAATGTACCTTAATATAAAATATAAAAGGAAAAATTATTTGTTTATAAATTTAATAATGTTTACTAAGACCTCATTGGTTTGATCATACAGGATGTTTGCTTGCCACATGTTACCATAAAA